AAAAAAAAAAAAGAAGAGGAAAAAGGAGAGAGAGAGAGAGAGAAGTAATGGAAAGAGATAGCGGGTGAAAGGCGACGGTGGGGGGCGACGATGGGGGCGGCGGTGGCGGTGGCGGGTTGGAAAGAAAAGAATAAATAACGAGAGAAATCCTCGATGAAGAAAATACACGGTATATCGTTCGCCAATACGCGCATGCCCCCGAGACCACGATTACGATTGCTCGCTTTCTATTTGTAACGCAGCCGGTTATCTTTGTTTGCTTGACCTATGACAATTATGGATTGGAATCAAGATGGATACACATTCTGCACCGAGATAAGGTGCTCTTTAGTTAAAAGTCACGTCTCTATCAGAGATAACATGCAAAGCATAATCGAGTTGCGAGGTACGAGCCTCGATATTACATATGGCCGATGATGATGATGATGATGATGACGACGATGACGGGTCGTGGTCGTGGTCGTGGTCGTGGTCGTGGATGTATTCGACGAACGATATACGGCAAGGGTGAAGAAAGGAGAGAGAACGAGAGGGAGAGAAACGATAAGAGAAATGCTTACCTCGTCCCTCTCGGTTTGGTCTGCCTGTTGCGTAAGTCCCGATACCCTGAGGACTTCGGCAGTCTTCAAAAAACTGCTAAGGGAACGTTGATGCACGTTCACTTCCCCGTGATAGATGAACTCCACCAAAGCGTGCAAGTCGCTGAACGCTACGTCCTGAAGTACTATCACCGGGTGTTTACACGGTGTGCTCTGCAATAGGGGAAGCAAGGAGGAAAAGAAGAGACATTTTCTCGCATTAGTTAAACATTGACGTTGCACTCGATGTATCGTTGCTACGTTGACGACGATAGAGGAGGGATTATACGGGCAGCGGGGGAGAGAGATCGCGAAACGTAGAGACAAAGGGGTATAGAAACGGTGACTCCGTGTGTCTTACCTTGAGCAATTCTCTAAAATAGGGACTGCAAGCGGAAAGTACGACGCGGTGCGCTTTGAGGCTTTTGCCATCGCAGGCCAGTGTGACGTCCACAAAATCTTCATCGTCCCTCAAGTTTTCAAACGCCGACGTTATACTGCTTTGGTAATTGTTCCATCGCAGACAAAAGTGTTGCGTATCTACCATCGTTATATCTATTCACCTATAATCAGAAATAATGTGCGCTATTTAAACCGGCAAAAGCTTCACACTTATCTTATCGCTTAATAAAATATGCCTCTGGCTGGCGAGTGCGAATTAAGGAACATTTTAACGGGGGAGCCTAAGAAGATCGAGTTCGATCGTCGTAATCGTCGTCCTCGTCCTCGACGTCGTATTCGTGATGGTCGTCGTCGTCGTCGTCGTCGTGGGCGCGTTCTCGACGCCTGCACCGACGCGCAGCAAGGGCACGAAATTTGAACGCTGAAATTTTCTAGTTGCACGATAAACGGTCAGATAAGTCCGAGGATCGATAATTTTCGATAACCGGTTGTTTCGCGATAAAGCAAAAAAACGCTGTTGCAATCGAGGATCGCGCGACGAGGAATCGCGAGACTCGATCTAGACCACTTTTCCTGCCGAAATACCGTGGAATATGCGAACCGGAGAGGAACGACAGGGGGAAAGACAGAGAGAGAGAGAGAAGAGTAAAAAAAAAGGGAAAAAATACGAAACAAAAAATTCGTCTATCCGTAAATGGATGGACAAAGATTATATAACGTTTCGGTATCGACTCTGGTATTTAACCGAGTTGTTTACCATAGGTGTGGCATTAGAACAGATGTTAATTTCCTTACACTTCTCGGAGCCACGAAAACTTATATAACGCGCGAATTAATACGCAGATTCGCTTAATAGGAACGAGGTGGACCAGAGATATCGTTTGCGAACATATGTTATTAATTCCGATGGAATAAAAATACGGGGAACGTTTACGTTCCCGTTGTTGCCGTGTATGCGCTGTAAAACGACACTTCGAGGTTTTGCGGTATTTTTACGTGGCATCGAGAACGCGAATGGCCAGACAGAGAGAGAGAAAGAGTGGGAAAAGAAGAGAGGAGAAGAGAGAGAAAGAGAGGAACGCGTCTTACGTTCGAAAAGTCGAAAAGATCTTTGCGAATCTCGCGTGTAAACGGGAATACGTATCATCGACGAGTTTCACTGGACGAAACCGTGGTGCGAGAGTACGAGAAAAGAAGAGAGATGAAAATATCGGCCATGCGACGTCGAGAGTAGACGAAGAATAAAAATTAAAGAGTGCATGGCGTAAAAATAGAAGCGAAGGATTACACTACTTTTTATTTGCACCATACAAGAAAATTAGGTCGTCAGGCTGGAGTGAAGCCAGAACATACGATTAAATAATTCTCTCCGCCACTTATAAAAGCGCAAGCATTAAATGTATGCTGATAATGTTATCTTAGCAAAATGATAAAAAAAAAAAAAAAAGAGAGATCTTAAAACAAATTTACAGTGCTGGTTGCTCGAGTCGTATGTGTGTAGTGTATGCCATGACAAAAGCGCCGATATAGAATGGAATTAATGATCGTCGATTGTTTTTTCTATTCTATAACGCGTTATTACGATAAGAAGGAGCACGGATACCGTATACTATTTTATAACGTTTCCGTTGATAATCGTATCGCTGATTCGAAAGGTATTTTTGCGCTGGTCGACTCGACGCTTCGAAGAAATAGTAATTAAAGTATACACACGGTCGCGCACAAGAGAAATCGTACACCGACGAAACCACGGTAAATAATATTATGCTGCAATATTTTGGATACGTTCCAGCGATTATCGCTGCAAAAGTAAAGAGACAAGAAGAAGCGAAAGAGAAAAGAAAAAAAAAAAAGAAAAAAGAGAAAAGAATAATTCCTTTTCTCCTTCTTCTTCCTCTCCTTTATTCTCTCCTTCTCTTCTTTTTCAGTTTCCTCTGCTTTCTCTCTTTTTTCTTTTTTTTTCTTTTCGTTTCGTAGATACACGTTTATCATAAGCCGCGCGCGCGGTGCGCTGATTCGGAAACTGTTTTCAGACTTTTTAATTTCGCTATCGCGTACTGCTAAATTTATGTGTGACGAATTCGAGATAAGTTTCGCACAGTGCCGTGAAAATTCCGAGGAACGTTTCGATAATAGAACCAGACTGGAACCGATGCCGATCTAGACGGCGACCTACGACGAGGAAAAAATACGCGACAATTTATTTTCCGCGGAGCGTACGACGCGTGACTACTGTCCGAGGAAAACGAAAGGTGGATCCCGCGCGCGCGGTTTTCCCTGCGTTGCTGCGCGTTTTTCCCGGCGATCGAAACACCCTTCGCGCGACAGAGAAGCGTGGGCGAGGAAACGGCGCGCACACGGTGGCGGATTTTTTCAAAAAGCGAGGAAAGAGAGCGGGAAGAGAGCGAAGACGCGCGAGCAGAGGGAAAAACGGAAACGGCGAACGGATACGAACGGATGCGAACGGATGCGATCGGCGGTGTGAGAAGAGAGGATGATAGTTCGGTTCGCGTTATACGATACCTTTTCCTCGGCGATCGCGGCTAAACGGCAGTTACGCTTTTCGTATATCTAAGGCACACGTTCACCACACATTATCCAGAAAGTAATCACAGTTCGAAGAAAGTAGATGCGTTATCGCGAAAGCACACCTATCACTCGTCATGCCGCGTAAGCTAATGACCGAAACAATGAACCGAATTGAAACGCTCTGCGTTTTATCTGCACAACGCCACCTTGCAAAAAAGTGCGCACTTCACAAGTTCGCGAAAAAGTCCCCTACACACGACCACTAGTGCTGCTTCGTCGTGGCGGAAAGTCATTCTCGTCCGACCGATCCGGAGTCGACGCCGGTCCTTGCTGCGTTAGCGGCGCCGTTTCTTCTCCGTGCTCGCAGACACGAAGAGGATCGACCGACACGGAAAATCTGCGATCACCGGAGATTATCGACCGATCGATCGATTGCGAGCCGCGAGGACGCGCGTGTGAAACGCGATCGCGTTGACAAGACGGCCACGCGTCGAATGATCGAGGGGAAGGCGCGATTTCGCCGGGGTAAGAATGCCGGAAGGAACGAAAGAGGAACGAAAGTGGAAGGAAAGCAGGACAGACTGACGGAAGGAAGCTAGCGAACGTGAAAGGAAGGAAGAAAGGAAAGAAGTAAGGAAGAAGGAAAGAAGAAAGGAAGGAAGGAAGGATGGAAGGAAGGAAGGAAGGAAGGAAGGTGCGAGGATGGAAAAAAGACAGACAGGTAGGTTGGAAAGGTAAAAAGACAAAGAAAGAACGAAAGAGAAGGAAAGTGAGCGAAAGTATACGAGAGGGAAGAGCAACGTGCGGTTTCGCGCGTGTCACGACGCGTACACCGGACGACAGAGGGAGAAAAAATGTCAAGGGAGAGAGGCAGATAAGCGTGTTGGCCGTCGTTTCCCGCTTTCAGTGGGCAGAGGCTCGCGCGATTCGTCGACGCTGATCGAGAGAATCGCCAAGGATCACATGTCGCGCGCCGTCACGAGAGCAACGAACCAAGTAACGAATCGAGCAGAGAAAGAGAAAGAGAGAGAGAGAGAGCGACACTGTCGGAGCAGAAGAACCGCGAGCTGTTCGAAAACCGGAAACGTCACGATCCTCGAAGGAGAGAGCACGTTGGAACAGCAGCAGCAGCAGCAGCAGCAACGGCACCAGCACCAGCAGCAACGGCACCAGCAGCAGCAGCAGCAGCAGCAGCACCCAGCACAGTCCACCGGTGGGCCTACTCTTTCTCCGTCACATACCGTGCGAACTAACCCCCGAAACGTCACGTCACGACTGTGCAGCTGTGTGCCTTCGACGACGCGGGCGTACGTCGCGACGCGGCAGCGAGGCCGCACGAAAACGTACGAAAAGCCGGCGATCGCCGGTACGACGAGCGAGAACGACCGACAGGAGAGAGAAAGAGGTATCGTCTGACAGAGAAAGATACCCAGAGAGACACACACACACACCCACATACACAGAGAGACACATACGGATACACGAGGAACAGGGGGGAAACACAGACGGACACACGAACGGATGGACAGACGGACAGATGGACAGTGACACAGAGAGGCAGAGACGGACGAGAAGAAGCGGGAGGAAAAAAGAGAGCGGGAGGACGAGCTGAGAAAAGATAGGACGGAGGCGTCGAGCAGATTTCGTCGGGAATCGTCGAGTACGCGAGAAGAACGCGTCTCGAATTTTTGCCACCGTCTTTCCCACTCGTTCTCTCGCGCTCTCTTTTTCTTTTCGCTTTTTCCTATACCTACGGACGAAGACTGAATTTTCTCGAGATCCGGGAAACCGGGGGAAGGTGGCACACGCGAGTAGTCGCCGGTGGAGGAAAGGTGACGAGGTTTACCTTGCGGCACTTGTGTTAAGACACGTCGCTCACGTGCGTTCCGTTCTCCTCCTGCCCCTCTTTGCTCGCGCGAGTCAGAAGCGCATCCTTCGAGCGCAGGCTGCGCCGCTTTTTCGCGCTTCCTCGGCAAGTTGCCGCGTCGAAAAGTAACCGAAAAGAATAACGAGCGTCACACGCGTTTCGTAGGTACGCGGATCGCGTTATCTCGCGGTGAAACCGCCGCTTCTTGGTAGACGAAACGTCGACGGAGACGACCACGACGACGAGGACGATAGTTGCGGTCGCGAGCCGCGGCGACAGTAGCGGTACAACGCGCGTTGCCTAAAAACCAACCACTCTTTTCTCTTTTTCTCTCCGTGTCTCACTCGTACACGCCGCGCCACACATACGCGCTCCGGTTCGATCTGTGCGAAGACGAGAGGAGAGAAGAGGGTTGCCGCGAGAGGATAGGCCTTCAGGCAGCGAGACACGAGGGGAGAGAAGTCTGAGGCTGTGCTGCTGCTGCTACTGCTGCTGCTGCTGCTGCTGCTGCTGCTACTGCTCGGCGATACAACGCCCAAGCAGTGGCACGGTACGCGCGCGGGTCGACGTCGTCGCGGAAAGAAAGAAATAAAGAAAAGGAGAAAGAAGAGAGAATCGGGAGTGGCGTGGTGAGGAGAGGAGAGAGAGAGAGAGAGAGAGAGACGTAGCACGGTATCGCGTCTTTTAATCCATCATCGTTTTCTCTGTCCGTTGCCTCGTGTGCCCGTAAATCGCTCGCGGTTCCCGCGAACTACGAAAACACCGGCAACGCGGCTGTCAGAGGTGGCGATCTCGCGGCAACGCGCGGGAATTTCGAACCGGCTCTCGCACGCACGACGACCCACCTAGCCACGTGTTTCTCTGTTCGGGATGCAAGCAGCCACCGTGACGCAAATTGCCGCGCGCTTCACTCCGGAATGCGAAGCCTCTCTCGCCGCTACGTTCCACCGAGACGACACCACCACCACCACCACCACCACCACCACCAC